CATTTCTGAGACTGAACCACCAAAATGTGTATGAGAGACAATGATCTACCCAAGGGGGTATGCATTTCTTTTTTTCTTCTTTTGGCACTAAGGTTTGAACTTGGGCCTCACACTTGCCAGACAGGCAGTCTATTATTTGAGCTACATTCCTAGCCCTCTTTTGGGTCTTTAGTTATTTTTCAGATAGGGCTTTACAATTTTTTTTTCTTTTTTTGTCCAGAGCCAGTGTCAGACCTTAAGTCTAGGATGGGATCACAGGCATGCCACCATCGTGACAGACTTGTTTGTTGAGATGGAGGTCTAGCAAATGGCTGGCTTGGAACCTTGATCCTCTTAATCTCTGCTTCCCCAAGCAGCTGGGTTCATAGGTGGAAGTTACCATACCAGGTAGGTTTTTGTATTTCTGTAGTGAACTCATAGGACTCCTGAGAAGTTTCAAGATCCATGGGCTGGCTTGTCAACAAGGCACAAGGGTCTGCCAAAAAAAATTTTTTTTTGGCCAGGCGCTGGTGGCTCACGCCTGTAAATCCTAGCTACTCAGGAGGCTGAGATCTGAGGATCGCAGTTCAAAGCCAGCCCGGGCAGGAGAGACCGTGAGACTCCTATCTTCAATAAACCACTACAAAACTGGAAGTGGCACTGTAGCTCAAGTGGTAGAGTGCTCTCCTTGAGCTGAAGAGCTGAGGGACAGCGCCCAGGCCCAGAGTTCAGGCCCCAGGACTGACCAGAAAATTTTTTTTTTTTTTTTTTTTTTTGTCGGTCGTGGGGCTTGAACTCTGGGCCTGGGTGCTGTCCCTTAGCTCCTCAGCTCAAGGCTAGCGCTCTACCACTTGAGTTTATGCCACTTCCAGCTTTTTCTGCTCATGTGGTGCTGAGGAATCGAACCCAGGGCCTCGTGCATGCAAGCGAAGCACTCTACCACTGAGGCACCTTCCCAGACCCATGCAGATGGTTTTGACTCACCTGTAAGGCTTGCTTACAATCTCTGGTCCTGTTTCACAGAAAATGGTGGCATTGAGCTATGTAGCTGCATCAGGTTGGGATCATGATACTGACTGACAATTCTATACCGTCAAGATACGTGTTTGTTGTTTATACTTGGTGTCTAGAGTAAGAAATGATCATGTTGTCCATGGGGTATAGAGCTCACTTTTTTCACTGCTAATAATAATTATTAGTAGTATTAATTTGAAAACAATTTTTGGCTAGGGGCTGGTGGTTCATGCCTGTAATCATGGCTACTCATGAAGTAGAGATTTGAGAATCCAGGTCTGAAGCCAGCTTGGACAGACAAGTCCAAGAGACTCTTATTTCCAGTTAACCAGCAAAAATCCCAAAGTGGAGCTATGGCTTTTGTGCTAGAGTGCTAGCCTTGAAAAAGCTAAGGGAGGAGCTGGGAAGGTGGCTCAGTGGTAGAGCACTTGCCTTGCATTCCTGAGGCCCTGGGTTCGATTCCTCAGCACCACATAAGCAAAAAGCAAAAAAAAAAAAAAAGCTGGAAGTGGCGCTGAGGCTCAAGTGGTAGAGTGCTAGCATTGAGCTGAAGAGCTGAGGGACAGTGCCCAGGCCCAGAGTTCAGGCCCCATGACCGGAACCCCCCCCCCCAAAAAAGAAAAAGCTAAGGGATGGAGCCCAGTCTGAGTTCAAGTCCTAGTATTGTCACAAAAAAAAAATTTTTTTTTGGTGCTAGGGATATAAATCAGAAACTAGTACATGGTAAGCACATGATCTATCACTGAACCACACCTCAGCCATACATGCATACATATATTCACACATCTATGCATTTATCTCTGTAGATATAGAAGTATATGGATAGATTATAAGAAATATGTTTTAAAATACATTTTATATTACAATATACTAATACATAATATATTAAAGCATATGCATATATTACATATGATTATACATACATACACATATACATACACGGATGGACTGAATTTAGGGTCTTGAGCTTGCTAGAAAAGTGCTTTATAAAGCCGGGTGCCAGTGGCTCACGCCTGTAATCCTAGCTACTCAGAAGGCTAAGATCTGAGGATCAAAAGCCAGCCCAGGCAGGAAAAGCTGTGAGACATAACTCCAATTAACCACTCAGAAAACCAGAAGTGGTGCTGTAGCTCAAGAGGTAGAGCACTAGCCTTGAGCTGAAGAGCTGAGGGACAGTGCCTAGGCCCAGAGTTCAAGCCCCACAACTGACCAAAAAAAAAAAAAAAGTGCTTTACAACTTGAGACAGGTTCCCAGCCTGGTATTAGTCATGCATTTTGCTTCACATTTCTGGTCTATCATCATAATCCTATTGTGAAGGGTTTGTTTTATTTTTTGTGCCAATACCAGGGCTTAAACTTGGGGCCTGGGTGCTGTCCCTGAGCTCTTTTGCTCAAAGCTAGTGTTCTACCCCAGCTCCATTTCTGGCTTTTATTTATTTATTTTTCCTACTGGACTTTTCCTGCCTGGGCTGGCTTTGAACCATATTCTCAGATCTCAGCCTTGAGTAGTTAGGATAGCAGGGATGAGCCATCAATGCCCACCTTGAGTAGAGTTTATTAAAAGCCCCATTTTACAGAAATTGAGGGGATCATATATACAGAAATAAAGGGGATCATATGATCTTTTTCAGAGATGTGTAAGACAAGTTCGGATTACAACCCAGGTCTCTCTTTGCTGATGGGGGAGGAGGATTTACGTGGGGGTCATTGGAGGCCACTATTGGTCTATTATCCTTTTTTAAAAAAATTTTTATTGTAAAAATACTGTACAGAGGGGTTACAATTATATGGGCAAGTGGTCTATTACCCTTGAAACTCTATTTTTTTTTTTTTTTTTGAGGTGGGAGGAGAGTAGTGAAGGAGGTCATGAATTGTAATCTAAGGGGATTGAGAATTTGCCAGATAGGAGTTGAATCCTCATTTCCCCTATCATTAGAATCTGATTTTCTTGGGCTGGGAAGGTGGCTCAGTGGTAGAGCGCTTGCCTTGCATGCCTGAGGCCCTGGGTTCGATTCCTCAGCACCACCTAAGCAAAAAGAAAAAAGCCGGAAGTGGCACTATGGCTCAAGTGGTAGAGCGCTAGCCTTGAGCTGAAGAGCTGAGGGACAGCGCCCAGGCCCAGAGTACAGGCCCCATGACCAGACCCCCCCCCCCCAAAAAAAAAGAATCTGATTTTCTTAATCCCCAAGGAGGGAGGGGGGGACTAATAAATAGTAACTCCCCACATTGGGATTCAGTGAGAGAGATTTAAGTGAGAAGATGCTTTGGACAATGCCTGGCTCAGTGCCTAGCACATCCTGAGCACCAGGAATCGGGAGCTGTTATTGTAACAATGATGATGATTATGGCTGGACCACAAGGCTCCCAGAGGGTTACAATATCCGTGGGGGAGCTGCTTTGTCCGTAGGCAAGGTTACATAATTCCCCAAGGGGGTGACAGCTTCCCTGGAGGCCTTGGTCCCCAAGGAGAAGGCCTGAGACTTTTCAGAGGCCTTCAGTGAAGGAGCTGGGACACTAGGAACCCCAACTGCTGAGGCAGAGCCCCAAGCCTAGAGAACCTGATGCCAGCAGGCTCTGTCCCTCAGGCTTGTCCATCTCTTTGGAAAGTCCATCTTCTTTCTGGGCTTCCATCTCCCCTCCTCCCACCTTGTTCTCTTTTGGCAACTCAGGAGTCCTTGCTGGGAATCTTGCTTCTACGTGCCCTATACCCTGGCTGCCCACTGTAGTTCTCCATTGAATCTATCTGATTTCCTGTTTCCTTGGAGCTTCAGGCTCCATCCATCTCTCCCAGATGCTACTTTAGGGATTAAAAAAAAAAAAAAACTTCACATTTTTCCCAATGTATGGGCCCTAGGTCTTTAAGCCTTGTCTTCCTCTCTCCTGGCAGACCCTAGTGCCTCTAGGGAGCACATTTGTTCTGACTTTGGTCACCCCCTACACTTGCATCCTGACCACCAAGCTCTCCGGAACCCTCTGCCCTAATAGTGGAGGTGTGTGTGTGTGTGTATGGGGGAAGGGTTACCTCCGGCTTGGGCTTGTTCCTTCCTAGGACAGCTGTAGCCTGGGGATGGACGGTGGTTGTGGGGGCTCCTGAATGCCTTCTCTCGGGTCACTTCCTCCTCCAGCTGCACTAGGTCCTATCAGGAAGGGCCAAAGAGCCCTCATCCTTACCGGAGCTGAGGGCACAGCCGCCTCCCCATTTCCGATGCAGGGAAATGCTTTTCACCCACCCCACCCCACCCCTGGACAGCTGCCCCTGGGCAGCTTTCAGGTTCAGGGGCTTAGGGGGCTGGGTAAACCCAGGCTGAGAAATGACGTTTATTTATTCACTTTTTAATTTTTTTTTTATCATCTTCCCAAGTCCAGACCCCCCCCCCCCATCCTCTATAGAGGGAGGATAGTATCTACTCTTCCCCCAAAGACCCATATACTCCTCCCTGGAAAAACATACCGAACCCCTTTCTTCCGAAAGTATCCTTGCCTCAAAGCTCTCCCTCCCCACCTCCAAAAAAGAAAAAGAAAACTGGAATCCGCAGCTTGAGGAGAGGAAGAGGAGTGGCAGATAGCGAGGGGCAGGCAAACTTAAAAGTTATCTGCGCCAGGGAGAAGGGTCACGACCCCTAGGACCCCCCCCCCTCTTCACCCCCCTAGGTCCTTCCCCGCCCTCTTCTTCCTCCCTCCCCTCCACCCCCCCCCCCCCTCGCCGCGCGGTCTCTTTAAGCCCCGAGCCGGCCGGTCCACAGTGGTGGTGCGCCAGAGCGCGTGTGCGCGCGCGCGCGCGCGTCTGTGTGTGTGTGTGTGTGTGCGCGCGCGCGCGCGTGCGTGTGTGTGGCGGCGCTGGGAGGGGGCGGGCGCAGTGTCTCCATGGCGACGCGGCGGTGACGTCGCCGGCCGGGGGGCGTGGGCGTCCCGGCCCCGGAGTGCGATATTAACCCGGGAGGCGGCGGCGGGGAGGGGAGAGGCTCTGAGAGGCGAGGCCGGGTGAGGCGGCGAGGGCGGCCCGACGGGCGCGGGACGGGACGGGGCAAGCGCGGGCGCCGGGGAGCTGCGGCCCGGAGTCGGGGCGCCTTGCCCCGGGCCCCCCCACCCCACCTCCCAACACACCAGCATGAAGACCCCGGCGGACACAGGTGGGGGCGGGGGCAGCACGTGTGGTGGTGGTGTGTGTGGGGGGAAGACTTGTTGCCCTGGGAAACCCGGTGGAAAAAACTTTAGGGGGGGGCTGGAAGAATCTAGGGGAGCTGGAGTGGTCCCCTAGTTCTGGGGGCCCCCCCGAATCACTCGAGACCTGTTGCTTCTCGCGGCGCGAGCGGGGGTTACTGCCTGGGACCCCTCGTTTCGTGGCTCCTCTCGCAGTGGTTACGGGGTGCTGCGGATCGTGCTCTTCTTTCCTGCCCGGATCCCCGCAAACTGGGCTCTTCCCCTACTCCCGGGATCATGGAGATGGGTGGCGGGTCCCCTCCCTGCCGCTCCGTCACGTTGCACTCGGGGGGCCGGGACGCGTGCGAGGCGGGGGTGGCGGCGGCGGGGGGCTTGTGCACGGAGGACCCCCCTCCCCCCTTTGCCGTCCCCGGGGTTCGGCGCCGCGCGGGGTCCCGGCCCGTGACCTTCACGGCGGCGTGTGCCCCGCTCGGTGCCGGGGAAGGGATGCGGGGAGAAGGCGCGTGTGTGAGTGCGGGGGGGGGGCGCGCGGGGGCCCCGGGACTCGGGGTCCGGGCCGCGCCGCCCCTCCCCCGCCCGGCTCCGCCGTCTCCTCGCTCCCCCGCCCGCGCCGAGTCGCAAAGTTCCAAAGCGCAGCCCGAACGTTCGAAAAAGGAACTTTTTGTTTCCGACCTTAGAACGGCGCGGCTTTAAGGTGGCTCCGGGGGAGCCCGGGGTCTCCCGGCTCGCGCGCCGCCGGACGAGGCCCAGGGGTGCAGGGGGTGGAGGGCGATCGGGAGGGGAGGGGGTGTACCGGGAGGTGTGTGCGTGTGTGTGGGGGGGACGCTGAAGTCTCTCCCCTCCCCCCTCCCCCGTCCCGTCCCCCCCTTCTCTGATCCAGCCCTTCTCTTTTCAGCCCGCCGCCTTCCTTCCTCCGCCCCGGCGTTCGTTCCCCGCCAACTTGCTCCTCCTTAAGGGGCCAGTGCTCCCCTCCCCCTCCGCCCCCCCTCCCGGGCGGGCGGGGGGCGGCGGGATTAACCCCCCTCCCGCTCGGACTTTCCCCCCTCCCTCCCTCCCTCCCTCCCCTCCCCCGCCGCCCCCGGCTGGACTTTGCGCCCGAGCGCGCGGCGGGGGGAGGGGTCCCCGCCGCCCCCTGCCCGTCCACCCCGTCGGAATCCGGCCCGGGGCGGGGACGGGGGAGGGGGAAGGGGGCCGGGCGCCGCTGTTCAAACTTGTTTCCTTCCCCCGGCGGCGGCCGTGGCGGCGGCCGGGGCTCCTGTGAGCGGGCGGTGTATGTGTGTGTGTGTGTGTGTGCGTGTGCGCGCGCGAGTGCGTGTGTGTGGTGTGTGTGCCCCGACCGGCCCACCCACCCCACCCCAGCCCTCCCCACCCGCCCCCCTGCTCGGCGGGTGGGGGCGGCTCTTCTTAAAGGGCTCCCGCGCCTGGGGATTGATTGGGGCGGGGGAGGCGCAGGGGTGCGGAGTTGCGGTAGGGTCAGTCACGTGCGTCCCACATACTCCCTGGCTTCCATGGGGGCACAGCCGCCCCCCCCTTCCCAGCCAGCCCCCCTCCCCTCCCAACCTTCCCTCGATTGGGGCCGAGGGCCCAGATGCCCAGACAACCCTGCTCATCCTTCTCTGCCTTGGGCCTTGGCTTGGTGGGACGCGCCACACCGCCCCCCCCCCCCCCCCCCCCGCAATGCTGTCTGGAGGTCTGAGTCCTGGGTTAGGTTGGGTCTTTAGTTGAGGGAGGTGTGAGTTGCCCATCACCCCCCCCCCCCCCCCCCACAATGGCCTTCAGGTCGCTCTGACTGCCTCCCTCCATGTAATCCTCCCCATCCCGGCCCTTCTTTTCCTCTACACTGGCTGTTTCCCACTTCCTGTTTTCTTCCCGGCTCTGGCAGCGGCGGAGGGCTGCCTGGACTGAGGGAGGTGGGGACCCCCCCCCCAGGCCAGCATGTTCTTCCTCTATGTACCACCACCCTTCCTTTCTGATCCACATAACTCTTAAATAAAATAATAATAATAAAAAGTTTGAGCTGTCACATGAAGTTGGAAGGTGCCCAGGAGCTCGGCCCCTACCCAGGCCTGCAGAGTCTGCGAGAAGCCCTTCCCCACCTCTGTGGCATCCAGGTGTGCCATCCCAGTTCTTCCTGTCTGTCTGCTGCCACTTCTGTGCCTTGTCTGCATTTCAGAACCCTCTCTCTCTCTGGCTCTCTCTGCAGTTGTTTTCTCCCTCTCCCTACTTCACTGCACCCCCTTCTTCCCCAGTGCATCAGAGAGGTCGTGCACACCCCCCAAGCTTTCTTGGTGTGCAGGGCTGGTATTTTCCTGATTTAAAGCACGTGGATCCACAGACAACACACACACATGCTCCCCTTGCCCGTGCCTGGCTCCTGGCTCCAAGGCTGGGGAACAGAGCCCCATTGAGACACCCTGACGTCACCCCCTCTTACTCTCCCCCTTAAAGCCGGGAACAGGCCCTTGTGTATGTTGTGTCCGATGAGGAAAGCCTGTGTTGGGGGTGGGCCTGGAGATGGGGAAGGGTCCTTGCTTGGGAGCCAGGGTCTAGGTCCTGTGGGGGGTGAAGGGGCAGAAGGAGGTGAGGATTGCTCTGGGAAGGGGGCTAACACAGGGCCCGGGACAGCTCCCAGAATGCGGCTTGAGGCCCTTCCAGAGCCCCCCCACCTCCTTTTCGAGTTCCCTTTGTGTTGCATGTAGTCTCTCTCACTCCCTCTCTTCTGCAAAGTTTATTTTTAGCCTCCTGCTCCCCCGCTCCCAGGACTGTCGCTGCACACACGTTGCCTGGTTACCGGGACACGGAGGCTGGGGCTGGTGGGCTGGGAAGGGTGGCTTTAATTTTTTTTGGGGGGGAGGGTGGAAGTCAGTCAGTACACCCCTCCACCCCTAGATTGATGTTTCAGGGGCTTCAGTTTCCCCATCCCCCCTGTTGGGTCTGGGAGCCAGATTGGGGCTGAGGTAGAAGTAGCTTGGGGCTTGGTGCTCTGAGGGGAGTCAGAATATTTTTGGAGGGGATTCCTGAATACATGGGCACCTGTGTTCCCAAATGCCTCTGGGTGGGCCCCAAGGGTGACGTGGTGATGTTGATTCTCAGGTTGAGGATCATGGGGTGAATCTCTGGGTTCCCAGTCAAGGGATGAGGCTAGGGCAGGGTCCTGGGGAGGGGCTGTCACTGTTGGGAAGAGAGCAAGGCTACTGAGCGGGACTCCAGGCTTGAAGAGCTGGGGGTCAGATTCCTGGAAGGCTGGGGTTTGGGGCCAGGGCAAGGGACTGTGTGGGGGAATGAGGTACTGGCCATCTCAGCCTCTCCAGCCAGGGTCAGGGCTTGTGCTGGGGGCTGGTAGGGATCACAGTTTTGTGTTTGGCGGAAGTGGTTCCCAGAGGGGGACCGGTCATCCTCTGTTGGATTCCAGAGTGGGGTAGAGCCTTTGGGGAGGCCTTGCCCTGGAGGCCTGCCTGGTACCTGCTTGAGCTGGAGCTAAGGGAGGGAGACTGCCCCTTGCTGCCTGGCCTGGCAGGGCTTGGGACCCCCTCCCCTCCCTTCACATTTTTAGCCATCCACCTTGGCTTTTTCTCTCTAGTGGCACCACAGCCCCTGCTTTGCCTCCCCCCCCCTCCATCTCTTCTTCCCCTTTCCCTCCTCCCACCCCTCCATTACCGGCTGCCTAGTGCTGAATTATTGATGGCCCCTGATTACCCGGGGGTTTGGGAAATGACAACAACCACAGCCCCCCCTACCCCCCCACTGCCCACCCCCCTCCAGGGACCAGCCAGCCCACCACCAACCTCTACCCAAGGTTAATGCTGGGGGCGGGCAGGCAGGTGGGCTGGGGAGTAGCTTGAGCATGAGAAGGCAGAAGTCAGAAGAGGGCTCTAGCTCCAGTGTCCTGCCTTGAGCTGTGGCCTTTCCAGCCCAGGTCTGGTCTGAGGCTGGGCCTGGGGAGGGCAGCGCCACTCAAGAGGGTCCAGGACTGGGGGAGTTGGGGGGGGTGGCCTCTCAGACAGTCTGGGTTTCACTCTCCAGGGAAGACAGAAGCCTCTGTGTGTGCAAGCGCTGACCTCATCCTCAACCAGCCACCCCACCCCTCCTGGTCCTTTTAAGAAAAAAAAAAAATTCTCTCTGATGCTGGGGTGTGGGGCGTGTAGAGAGACTTCCATAGGTCTTGGGTGTGTGTGTGGGGGGGTAATGTATGTTCCTAAGAAAAGGGGACCAGAGGTCCTGGGAGGGGGGGGTTACTATTGGTTCTGAATGGGTGAAGGGGCTGTGCCCCCAGCCTGCAGGCCACGTGTGCCCTTTCCTGCCCCTCCCCCACTGGCAGCCCTGCCCGCCATCCTGGCTTGGTGCCTGGCCCCCTGGCACTGGCCCCGGGACCCGCCGCCGTTGGTTTCCTGTTTCTCCCGGTGTCGCTGGAGCAGGCTCCAGCTTCCCCTCCCCCCCAGCTCCCGTCTAGCCCCCCTCGACCTGACAGACACATACTGTCTCCTTCTAGTTCCCGCTTTACTTGGCTAAGGGAAGAAGCATGAAGGCTGGGTAGGAGGTGGACCTTGGGATGTATGACCTAGAGTTTTCCCCATCCTGGCCTCCTGACCCCCTAGGCCATGCTTCCCGGTTTCTCATCCTCAGGGTTTGCCTTCCCGGATTGGGCCTACAAGCCGGAGTCATCCCCCGGCTCCCGGCAGATCCAGCTGTGGCACTTTATCCTTGAGCTGCTACGGAAGGAGGAATACCAGGGCGTCATCGCCTGGCAGGGGGACTACGGGGAATTTGTCATCAAGGACCCAGATGAGGTCGCCCGCCTCTGGGGGGTCCGCAAGTGCAAGCCCCAGATGAACTATGACAAGCTGAGCCGGGCCCTGCGGTGAGGAGCTGGTCTTGGGCTTGGTCCTGGGGTTGGGGAGGGTGCCTGACCTACTGGAACAGGCTGTTCGATTTCTCTGCTCTTCTGGGATCCTGGCAGTGTGACCTTGAGCAATTCCCGTCTTTTCTCTGAGCCCATTGTCCTGAGGGAGAGAATTCAATCACTGATAAGGCCTGGAGTCTTTAGTCTCCAGCCTCAGGGTACTTGACCTTTTCTTTCTTTCTACTTCTTTTTTTTTTTTTCCCTGCCAGTTCCAGGACTTGAACTCAGGACCTAGCTACTCTTACTCTTCCCTTAGCATTTTCACTAAAGGCTGGTGATTTACCATTTGAGCCACAAATCCTCAGGGATTTTCCTGCCCGGGCTAGCTTCCAACAGTGATTCTCAGATCTCAGCCTCCAGAGTAGCTCAAATTTCTGGTTGTGTGGTCCTTGGTAGTCACTTGGCCCTTGTGAGCCGGATCTAAACACCTCTCAGGGTGGGCCTGGGTACTGGGGAGTTACAAGTGTGCGTGTGGCGGGATTGGGGGGAAGAAGGGGACTGACATCCCAATGGCTCTTCTGTATCCACAGCTATTATTACAACAAGCGCATTCTGCACAAAACCAAGGGGAAACGGTTCACCTACAAGTTCAATTTCAACAAACTGGTGCTGGTTAATTACCCTTTCATTGATGTGGGGCTGGCTGGTGAGTATGGGGATATCTGGCCTTCGAGGATGGGGAAAAGGGGGTCTGTCAAGGCTAGGTCAAGGGGCCTTGACATTGAGTCTCTCCCTCTCTTCTTCCCTCAGGGGGTGCGGTGCCGCAGAGTGCCCCTCCCGTGCCATCCGGCGGCAGCCACTTCCGCTTCCCTCCCTCCACGCCCTCTGAGGTGCTGTCCCCCACTGAAGACCCCCGCTCGCCGCCGGCCTGCTCTTCATCCTCATCTTCCCTCTTTTCGGCTGTGGTGGCCCGTCGCCTGGGCCGTGGCTCAGTCAGTGACTGTAGCGATGGCACATCAGAGCTGGAAGAGCCACTGGGAGAGGACCCCCGGGCTCGACCCCCCGGCCCCCCAGAGCTGGGTGCCTTCCGAGGGCCCCCACTGGCCCGCCTATCTCATGACCCTGGTGTCTTCCGTGTCTATCCTCGGCCTCGGGGGGGCCCTGAGCCCCTCAGTCCCTTCCCTGTGTCACCTCTTGCTGGGCCTGGCTCCCTACTACCCCCTCAGCTCTCGCCAGCCCTCCCCATGACACCCACGCACCTGGCCTACACACCCTCACCCACGCTCAGCCCTATGTACCCCAGTGGTGGCGGGGGCCCCAGTGGCTCAGCCGGAGGCTCCCACTTTTCCTTTAGCCCCGAGGACATGAAACGGTACCTACAGGCCCATACCCAAAGCGTCTACAACTACCACCTCAGTCCCCGCGCCTTCCTGCACTACCCTGGGCTGGTGGTACCCCAGCCCCAACGCCCTGACAAGTGTCCGCTGCCACCCCTGGCACCCGAGACCCCACCGGTCCCTTCCTCGTCCTCGTCCTCCTCTTCCTCTTCTTCCTCCCCATTCAAGTTTAAGCTGCAGCCGCCTCCACTAGGACGCCGCCAGCGGGCATCAGGGGAGAAGGCGCCGGGAGGCCCCGACAAGAGCAGCGGAGGGGGCCTGGGAGGCAGTGCCACCGGGGGCTTGGCCGAGGGTGCGGGCGCGCTGGCCCCCCCACCGCCGCCACCCCAGATCAAGGTGGAGCCCATCTCAGAAGGCGAGTCGGAGGAGGTGGAGGTGACTGACATCAGCGACGAGGATGAGGAAGATGGGGAAGTGTTTAAGACACCCCGTGCCCCACCTGCGCCCCCCAAGCCGGAGCCTGGCGAGGCACCTGGGGCGGCCCAATGCATGCCCCTCAAGCTGCGCTTTAAGCGGCGCTGGAGTGAAGACTGTCGTCTGGAGGGGGGCGGGGGTCCTGCTGGGGCCCTTGAGGATGAGGGTGAAGACAAAAAGGTGCGGGGCGAGGGACCTGGGGAAGCCGGGGGACCTCTCACCCCAAGGAGGGTGAGTTCTGATCTCCAGCATGCCACAGCTCAGCTCTCTCTGGAACATCGAGATTCCTGAGGGCTGTGGGCAGGGGGCCCAGGTGTCCCCCATTTCCCATGCTTCTTTTGCTGCCTTAACCACCCCCCCCCCCCAAAGCCCTGGAGGTGAGGGCAGCTTTCTCGTCTCCCCCATGCCACCTCCTCCCCTCCCCACATTTTGTATAAAAGTATACATTTTTTTTTAAATGGTGGGGGGGTGGGGGGGTGCCCAAGACTTGGGGGTTTCCTCTGGGTGTCTGAGCTCTGGGCAAAGTGATGGTGATGGGGGGGAGGAAGGGGGGGAGGGGGGGTGACCTCCATTCTGGGAATTTCTTTTTGAACCAGGCTTTGGCCTTAACACCCAGGAACTTTTTTTTTTTTTTTTTTTTAAATTACAATCTTAGGAAGTAAAGCCTTGTCTCCCTCCCTGTTCTCTGCCTTGGAAGCTTCCCCTCCCCCCAGTCCATTCCTCTGTTCCCTATACCTCCCCCCCACCCCCCAACCCTGCCTTCCTTGCCCCTTCCAGGGGCTGTGAGTGCCTGGGTTTCTCATACGCCACAAGGCTGCAGCAGAGGAGGGAGGGACCATTTTATGATGAACCAAAAATCCCATGTACAGGGATGGGGTAGGGTGGGGGGGAATGGTGGAGGGTGAGGGGGTTACCACCCATGGGCCACAAATCTCTATAAGTGCCTGCTCTCCCACTCCCAACCCCAGCCCCAGTCCCATCCCTTCACCCCCCCCCCCACCCGACCCCCAGCTGCTCCTAGGACTGGCCCACAGGGCAGACAGGTGGAGGCTTACGGGAAGGGGAGTGCCCTGAAACCAAACTGGAAGCGCCCCCTGCCTCCCAGCTTGGGGCCCCTGGGGTGGGCTGTGGGGGCTGTGGTCAAGCCTTATTCTGTATTGGGGCTGGAGGGTGGGGGAGGGAAGTAGGGGGCTGCCGGAGAATGTATTCAAACAATAAAATTTTGGACCTTTCCCTGCTGTGAGCTGTCCTAGATGCTGGGTGGAGCCAGTTTGGACAGGTCTAGACCGTCCCTCCCCTCACTTTGTGGCCAGAGGGCCTAACCCTGTCTGGATGGTTTCAATCCAGGCCTTGGGGAACTATTGTCTGCTGCACTTGGGTGTCACAGACCTCAGAGCTGGGTGATTAAGGTCTCTGGCTTACTGTGGCCCTGGACTTTTAGGCCAGGAGGCTCTGTCTGCCTTTGGAACTTTCACTTATCCACCCCCAAACTGCTTAGTTCTTGAGTGCCTGAAGCTTTTCTCTCACCTGTTCTGATCCCCCCCCCCCCTCGTGGCCCTGTGAAGTTCAAGACTTTTTTTGTTGGTCATGGGGCTTGAACTCTGGGCCTGGGCACTGTCCCTCAGCTCTACCACTTGAGCCACAGCACCACTTCCAGTTTCTCTGGTGGTTTATTGGAGATAGGAATCTCACAGTCTTTCCTGCCTGGGCTGGCTTTGAACTGCCATCCTCAGATCTCAGCCTCCTGAGATTACAGTCGTGAGCCACCAGCACCCAGCTGCTTTTTTTTTTTTTTTTTTGTGCTGCCTTTAACACCCTGCCCACTCATTTGGGTGCTTGGAATTAAGCTGTGAGTCCTTTGGGACAAAGCCTGCAGTATCTCTTTAAATACTTTGCAAATAATGGTGGTCTTTTTTGGTTCAACTAGGCTACCATTCCCAGCCAGCAAATGACAAGGGCTGGCTTCCACCTCGTAGGTAGTATGGTTTGACAGGCCTTTAAGCATTCAACAAGGAATGGCCACCAGCTCAATTAAGAAAGAACCCAGTTGTATGACATTCTTTGAGCAAGTGATTTCTTTTTTCTCTCCCCTGCATTCAAGATGGTTGGATCCAGATTAGGGGTTTCAGAATTACAGAATCTTAGAGCCAGCCTCATAAATCTAGAAGCTCAGATTGGAGACTTGAGTCTTGAGAGGAGCAAAGCGGGAAGAATTCAGGCTGGGATTACCCAGAGAGATAAGCCAGGACCTGCAGTGCAGGTGAGGTGCCTGAGGCCCAGTGAGGTGAAGGGGTTTCCCTCAGGCCATGCAGCTGTTTGGAGATGCAGCAGGCTAGGGGCTTGTTGGACTGGCTTTACCATGAAACCCCACCCTGTGTAACCCTGAGGGGGAAAGAATGTTGACGGGCAACTGCTACCCATTACACACTTAAAACTTCAGTTCTTGCCAGCCCAGGGTGGGTGGTCCCAGATGACGTTGTCACTTGGCAGTAAAGAGAGGATCCAGGGCTGAGGAACTGGCTGGAAAACGAGGCTCCTGTGGCTTGCTATGGGCAACTGCTCCCTCTCCTGGGTGATGTAAGCTATTCCCTAGGGTGGGGACCACTGGGCTATTTTGGGAAGTTGGGATGAGGCAGATCTCCTGGCAACAAAGATGCGACTGAGTTGCTGGTAGAGTGATGGAGAAAGGGAGATAAGGAGAAAGTCCTGGCTGGCTGGAGGGAAACAGGTTCCTGTCTAGTAGCTTCAGTACCTTAGCTTTCCAAATACCTCTAATCACATGACTCCCAAAGGCTCAGCTCCAGGTCAGACTACACGGTCCAACCAAGCTTGTTGCCCCAGATTCTGGATGTGTGGGATGTTGCAGGTGGCGTTTGGCCTAGAGAACACCAGTGTTTTCCCTTAATATTGAATAGCTTACTGAACTCCCATTAGCAGACCTGAAATATTTCTGCAAGACACCTATGATCCTAGTTTCTGAGAGTCTTGCTGTCCAAGAAGAAAATCTTTCATAGATTTCTCCATAGGGCATCTTCCACATTAATTCACCCCACCAGAGATCTCATTTGCAACCAAACATGGCCCCCAACCCCAGCACCTGCACAGGTCCTTTGGGCAAAGCCCTTCCTGGTGTTTCTCAGCCATCTCTCACCCCATTCAGATCCCTCAAGAGACCCTTTCAGTCGCCTATAGTCGTTTGACAGCTATCCTAAATTACCTCAGAATTCTCCACTGGTCCAGATGTCTCAGGTGTCCATAACTCATTAAAGACCTCTTCGTGGACTCTGTCCCTGAAGACATTATTAGGCCCTAGTACTCCTCCACAAATGTTCTTACCACTTACAAAAAAAAGCCAAGCCCACCCAACAACAAAAAGCCCAGATTCTCACATCATCACCCTCATACTCCCAAAGACCCAAACTCCTCAGAGGATTGTCCACTGTGCATGCCCTACACTTTCTGGAGGTTAATTAGCTGGGTCTTATTCTGCCCCTCTCTAATGTCCTTGAGAACCTTCTTGACCCCCTTCGGAATTTTCTGCGCTTTGAAGCTTGAATTAAAATTTTTACTCTTAAGTTCCGAGCTGCCGTTAGAGGGCAGCAGCCACCATTTGGTTAGACAACTACAAATCCCAGAAACACCCGCGGCGGGGGTGGGGGGAAGGAAGAAGGAGGGAGGCTTGTTCACAGGCTTTGCGGAGGAAGCGGAAGAACTTGCGCTTTGCCTTCTGGGTAATGTAGTCCGAGAAGGCTTCAGTGCTAAATCTGTTGCGGTTTTGCGTCCACTGTCTTGCAATCAAAAACAGACCGAGCCGACTGAACTTTCTTTAGGTCCTCAGGAAAGCCAGATCAGTTAGTATGAACACAGGTTCGAATTAAAAGTGAAGTATAGAATCCCCATTTCCTACCCTTCGTCGGACTGGAGGGACAAACACGCAAGAACTCTGTTTCCCACGATCCTCTGAGGCTGTTATCTTTCCGGGTACTAAAAAGATAAAATGAGCGCACAAAACCCAGAGGCTACTTCTTGAAACCGACTTATTTCATTTGGTCTCCCAAAACGGGCAGATGCAACAAATCAACAACAACAAACGAAAGCCCTAAAGCTGCAGACGGTACTCTTTCATTCTTTTGGTGCTCATTTTTGCCTCATAGTGCTGCCTATATTGATAGGAAAAAGAAAAGTAGACTATTTGAAGGCAAATTCTGGGATACTCCACTAGAAACTTTTGTTTCCCACCCCATCTACCCCCTCCTGATTTGTGGTCACATGGAATTCAAAGGTACTTAGACGTCTTTTCCCAGGGGTCACCGACCAACTTGGAGGGTGAAAGAGGAGGGACTGAGACATTTTCCAGTTCCTCTAGGGAACTACCGTCCTTACCCTTTGTCCCACAATCCCCGGTAGCACTCGACTACATTCCACCTCCCAGGAAGCTTCTGATCCTGGTCTCACAAAGGGTCAGGATCAGCTTTAAAATATTCCCAACATGCTTCGGGCGTCTAGTCAATCCCGCCTGTTCATCAACTCGGAGGCTGCCTTGAACTTCACTTCCCAGAAGGCATTAAGATCTCAGTGGAACAACCTTGGTGTCCACTACAGTTCCCAGCAGGCACTGCGGTTCGGTGTACAAGGCCAGAGAACGTGATGCCTACTCCATTTCCTGGTCTATCTCTAGAACCCTCGTATCTACTCATGGGGTTTCAAGACTACATTTGGGACTCCATTTCCCGGCGTGCTTTGGAAAACGCTTTACACCTGCAATGCGGGGGAGGGTGTGGCACCGACTTCATTTCCCGGCTTGCCTCACGGACCAAGATCTGCGGGTTGACCGGCGCGGACTCAATTTCCCAGAGCGCATCTGGCTCTGGGAGTCACCCATTGCCTAGAGGCTAAGAGAACTGACTGGACTCCGTTTCCCGGCGTGCATCAGGCCTACTCAGCTCGGGGATGGCGCGGCCGGCACTTCATTTCTGAGGTACCGCTAGAGGCTCTGAGTTGCTGTCGTGGAGGTTGACTGTTTTCAAAATCCTCCAGGGCTTGCCTTCTGCACCAATCGGTTGGCAGATTACCCAGGACTCTATTTCTCGACTTGCAGAGAGACCGTCATCTCCTGACCCCCTACCTCTACTCTGAAGCCACTGCGGACTCCATTTCCCGGCGTACCACGCGGGCCTCCTTGCGTGTCGAGGGCGGTGACGGCGGCGCGGACGGCAGGCGGACTGCATCTCCCGGCGTGCCCCGCGGCGGGCGCTGGGCCGGAGCCGGAGCCCGAGCGGCGCGGCCTGGAAGAGGCCAGAGCCCGGGGGAGGCGGCGGCGGCTGCGGCTGAGGCAGCCCGGGCAGCCCGAGCCCCGCGTCC